GCTCAATCATTATGAAGGAAATTTTCACTTGTTGTGATGACTAATTTAATGGGGTTTAATATGTTTGGCTGTCACTGGAAGCATTGAGTTAGCATAATATAATTCAATGTTTAGTAAAAGAAATGAAAGCTAGTACAATGAAACGCAACGTTTTTAAAGATTTAACGCAAATACAAACACTAAAATGTGATATCTACTAGGTGAAAATTATTTAAATTTATGTGGCTCAATCATTATGAAGGAAATTTTCACTTGCTGTGTTGATTAATTTAATATAGTTTCAATATACTTGGAGGTCACGGGAAGCATTGATTCAACATATTATGAAAATTCATTGCTTTTTAAAAATAGTTATTAACTATTCATCTTTATTGACTTTCATCCGAATAAGAAAAAGTCACGTCGTTCACAGTCAGACCCACCACATTTTCCAGTTATCATATTTCAGTGAATGCCGTGATTTCAGCAAAATAATCACTCACTCATAAATCACTACTTCTTGTTGAAATATTTGACTTTTTATATATTTAAATTAGAATAAAAAGACTTCTAAATGTAAATACCATTAAAATAAATCCATACCCGGTGATGGAATACAGATGATTATTCTGATATCGAAACCCGAGATTTCTACGAATTACTGTCATCAATCATTATTTTAAAAACAAACATTCCTGAACATGAATGACTTATCGCAAATGCTATATTTTCATTCGAATGTTTATTTTGGATCATTATTTCGAATATTTTTCTAATAAAATGAAAAGTAAGTTCTTATTATCTTAATGGTATGTAAATAACATCATTGACGTATCGTAAATTTTATCTTTTCATTCTNGTAATGGTACAAAAAAAAATGATTTATTGGAATTTTATGTAGATTTAACAGTGAGAAACAGAAAATATTTCAAACAGTTCTACGTTTCCAAAAACGTTTTTCCTGATCAATCTTTACCGTAAGATATTTTGTTAATCCATTTCTTCTGGTATGTTTTAATAATATTTTATTATTAGAATTATTTGATTTAAACGGCTTCCATGGTTTCCAAAAATACTTGATAATTTATACTTTTCCAAACCTTCCTGCAATGGTTCCCCCAAAAACAATTACAGCTTTTATTACGTTTCGTTTTCATTAACTATTTCCGATGAAAATGTGATGCTTAAGTTGTTGGTACATATCTAAGCGCGAATGCGATGCATTTTTTTTAAAATTGCTGATATTTTTTAAGAAGATTGAATACGCTAATATTTGCTAAATAAAGAAAAAACATTTTTTTACAGCTATTAGTAATCCTCCTAAATAATTGATAGTTAAAATTAAACAATTGGTAGCATTATTTATATTATAAAATTTGTTTTATTGTTTTTTTATATAAGAGACATAAGTTGTTGATACTTATTAAGTACGTGTGCAATACATGTTTCGAAATTGCCGATATTTTTTGAGATCGAATACACTGATCTTCATTAAATAAAACATAAAAATAATATTTTTTAACTTTCAGTAATCAACATAAACAATTAGTAGTTAAAATTAAATATTTGGTAGCATTATTTATATTATAAATTCTGCTTCAGATGCTTAAGTTGGTACTTATCTAAGCAGGACTGCGATACATGTTTTAAAATTGCTGATATTTTTTAAGAACGAATACACTTATTTTCGATAAATAAAGAATGAAAATTATGTTTTGTAGCTTTCAGTAAACAGCCTAAATAATTGATAGTTAAAATTGAACAATTGGTAGCATCACTTACATTAAAAAAATTGTTTTTTTAAAAATTTAACACAAATACATGCAATAAAATGTGTTATGCATGAAAATTATTTAAATTGCTGTGGCTCAATCCTAATCAAGGAAATTTTCACTTGCTATGATAATTAGTTTAATAGCGTTTCAATATGTTTGGCTGTCACTGGAAGCATTAAGTAAGCATATTATGGTAATTCAATACTTAGTAAAAGAAATGAAAGCTAGTACAATAAAACGCAAATTTTTTGAAAAATTTAACGCAAATACAAGCAATAAAATGAGATATCTACTTGGTGAAAATTATTTAAATTACTGTGGCTCAATCCTAATCAAGGAAATTTTCACTTGCTACGATAATTAGTTTAATAGCGTTTCAACATGTTTGGCTATCACCGGAAACATGGACCCAGCACATTATTGTAATTCAATACTTTTTAAAAGGAATGAAAGCTAGAACAATAAAACGCAATATTTTTAAAAATTTAACGCAAATACAGGCATTAAAATGTGATACTTGGTGAAAATTATTTAAATTACAGTGGCTCAGTTCTAATCAAGGAAATTTTCACTTGCTATGATAATTAGTTTGATAGCGTTTCAATATGTTTGGCGGTCACTGGGAGCATTGAGTTAGCATATTATGGTAATTCAATGCTTAGTAAAAGAAATGAAAGCTAGTACAATAAAACGCAACTTTTTTAAAAATTTAACGCATATACAAGCATTAAAATGTGATATCTACTAGGTGAAAATGATACAAATTTATGTGGTTTAACCATTGTCAAGTAAGTTTTCACTTGCTGTGTTGATTAATTTAATATGGTTTCAATATACTAGAAGGTCACGAGAAGCAGTGATCCAGCATATTATGGAAATTCATTGCTTTTTAAAAAATAGTTATTAACTATTCATCTTTATTGACTTTCATTCGAATAGGAAAAAGTCACGTCGTTCACATTTTCTAGTTAATCATGTTTTAAGCGAATGCCGTGATTTCAGCAAAATAATCACTTACTCATAAATCACTACTTCTTGTTGAAATAGTTGACTTTTATATATTTAAATTAGAATAAAAAGACTTCTAAATATAAATACCATTAAAATAAATCCATACCCGGTTTTGAAATGTAGATAATTATTCTGATATCGAAACCTGAGATTTCTACGAATTACTGCCATCAATCATTATTTTAAAAACAAACATTCCTGAACATGAATGAGACTTATCGCAAATGTTATATTTTCATTCGAATGTTTATTTTGCATCATTATTTCGAATATTTTTCTAATAAAATAAAAAGTAAGTTCTTATTATCTTAATGGTATGTAAATAACATCATTGACTTATCCTAAATTTTATCTTTTCATTCTAATGTTTATTTTTCATCATTTTTTGAAATATTTTTGTAATAAAATAAAAAGTAGGATCTTAATGGTAGGTAAATAAGTATTGAATGTAATTATAGCTCTGTTAAGAGTTTTGTATTAATTTTTTTTCAAATGCAAAACAATTTTCTTTTCCAACTCTTTTCAGTTATAAAAATGTAATTGATTATTGCTGTTAAAATTATGTTATTGTTTTTTGGTGTTTCATTAATAGTGTTTTGATACTTGATTATTATAGAATGTTTAAGTCACAGAGAAATATTTAAAAAGTTATCACTGTAAATTGTGAGGCAAAGTGACAATGCATTAGGACCAAATGTATATAATGCCCCGCTGTGGTAAATAGCTTAAATACTAGTTATTTAATGAGTTATTTTCCATTATTTATTTTATTCCATTACTGAATTTATGAAATTTCTTCAAATCACTTCATTTTAATTCTAAAAAAAATTATTAGGTTGTTTTTTGCAGAGAATATCAAGTATAAATTAAGACAAAGAGCTTTTTTTGCATTAATAAATATTTCATAAATTTTCAATATTGCATTTGATTTAAATATTACAGCATGTTTTTTTTTCTTGTTCTTATATTAATTTTTATTTTCCTATATTAAAAAATAAGTTGCTGCCACGACCACCACTATTTCAGAAAAAATTTTTAAAAAAAATTTAAAAATGAAGTTTGGCACACTTCCAGAAAAATGTTTAAGAAGCAATCTGATATCAAAATAATTCTGATACGGTCATTAGTTTTTGAATTATTTTATGTCAAAATTGATTTTTTTCTTCCTTTACGTAATTTAGTTTAGCGAAAACTATAAGCAGCTACGAACAATTATGTCTGAAAATGAGCATGACTTAGCATTTCGAATCAGTTTTGAAATAAATAAATAGTTTATATTGACAATTTTATTGGATTTTTCAATGTAAAGAAAAAAAACTACTCGCAATTAATCGAAAAGTATTGTTGCTTGCAACAACTTGTTAAAAAAAGGAGAAATTGTCAATCTAACTAAAACAGTTGAGGAGTAATTGTAAAAAAGATGTCCTTGCTTTTATTTTAAGAAATATTTCAGTCGTTATACTTTGTAAAAAATTAAGATTAGAAATCTAACCTCTAATGTGATTAATATAAAAGATAAAGAACAATATATTCAGATACTTTGAATAAAGATGGATAAAGAACAATCATTTATCCATCTTCATTCAAAGATGAATAAAGAACTTTCCATCTTCATCTTGTTCCATATTAAACAAGATGAAGATGAAAAGATAGAAATTAACTGTATAAACATTTCGGGGGTTGACGAATGATAGTAAGAAGAGGGGCAGAGCCTTTTACTGGTGAATATAGTTTTGTTAAGTTTCGACAAACAAAACCTTATTTATAAAACCTTAAGATGAATAGATACGCAGAAGTGTTTTTGCTTATAATTACTACAAAAATGTTTTTTGATAAATTTTTCAATATAGATTTTTCTTTTCCCTCATTTAAGAAAAAAAAAGAATTTCACGAAAAAAGATTAAATAAATCTTCGAGGAGTTAATTATTTTTGACATTACAGGTTACAAATCATGTTATTAACTACCCAATCTAAAATATTCATTTTAAACACTGAGTAAAGCCCTATTTCATTGAAAATCGTAAGTGTATCTGCTCAAAAAGAAATGGAAAAAAAAATACTAAAAAGAAGTATCCAAAAAAACTAGAATATAGATTATGAAAACAATATGTTTTTGCAATCCTATTTCAGCTGCATTAAAAAGCATTAATACACCAGGAGGTGTTCGAAGAGTATATAGATTCCATTTGTTTATTATTTAACTTTGTGTGAGCTATAAGCTAGAATTCGTCTCGTTTTATTTTTTTTAAAAGGATGTAGATTTCAGGTTGTTATGACAATATGATGGAACATCTTGTGTAAATAAATGTGTTAAAAGGAAATCTATTTTTATAAAATCGAGTCAGTATTTTTATTTTAATTAAGTAAAGTAGAGAACGACAGAATATTTAACTTCCTGTTAGAGTCTCACAAAATTAGTGGTGAACAAGGGTGTGAAGAATTTTAAATTTCATATGAAGTACTAAAAATAAATAAATGGAATCTACTTTTAACAGAGGGCAGCAGAGGTACTGTCACTATTTAAGCATTTAAAAAAATGATTAAATAACTAAAAATCTTAAAAGTTGAATAGTGTGAAATTACGTGTTAAGAAATGCTGTCTTTGAGAACACGATCCTTCATGTTCTACAGCGGCAGCATGCAGCATTTATGCATAAATGCCTAACTTCCTTTACACCCAAAAATCTTCTTAGCACGTTCGCTTACATTGCATGAAATATTACATCCTCAAAACTCATTCCATTATCAATTACGCGGTCTGACATCGAACGTGTGAAACGTGACAAATATGAGGTAATAGTTCCAGATTTACTTTGAAAATGGTACTAATTTTCGCCAACATAGACGGTACTGAGATAAACAGCATGCGTGCCATTGACTCCAAATTTAAACTCCTGAAGTTATCTGAAGATGTTAGAGACAGCTAAAAATGTTTTTGGAAAAGCCAGCTGTCTTAGTCATGATTCTAAATGTGTTCCCCCTGCTGTCGTAAGGTCGAAACATACCTGTCAGTCAGCGCCTCCCAGCGTCAAAAAAAAGCCAGAATTCGCCAATTTAGAATCGTTTTAAAAATGTTATTTGATCTATGAGGTAGATTTGAGCAGGTGCTGCTGCAGTCTTCAGTATTTTGACACCATGCGGTGCATAAAATAGGATTACAGGTAATTCCTGTTGAAAAGGCGAAAGGAAATGATTATTGCATGGCGATATGTTTTTGCTAGGAGAATTTAATGATTAGGCAATTCGTTATGTGTACATTATTTCACTTTCTCTTCGTGTAAATAGTTTTCTAGTGTTAATGTCTACTTTGTAGTGTTTACATAACGGATTTTTCAGTGCACGAGTGTTTCTTTTTCTTAATATTTATTTTAAAAATATATTAGCACTATCGTTAACTTGTTGACTTTATAAATGTTTAAAAATAAACAAGTATATATCTTAAGCATATCACATAAATTCAAAAAATTAGATAAAACCATCATTTTAATAAATCTGTTTCGTCTTATATGATTAGAAATAAGCAATTTCTGTAATGAAAAAAGTTTAATCATGTAGCGGTATGTTTAGAATGCAACAATATTTCAGTCGGAATTTTAACTTTCGTTAAAAAGTTATAAAGAAATTATAATGTTCCAAATTGACTATATCCTTTTATTTTCATGACTTTGAAAAAATAAAATGGTGTGAAAGTATTTTTTTCAATTTTCCTCAATAACAGAGGTGGCAACTTCTCTGGACAAGCCAAAATAATTTTTTAGAAAAAACGGTAAATAACTACTACTAAGTAAATTTTGCAAATATCTGATTATTTTTGCTTGCTTTTTAAAAGGTATAGCATGACATAAGTACTATAAAGTGGTGAATTATATAAGCCTACGAATTATTTAGAAACAGTGGTGGATAAAAATGAACAATTGAATTTATTAAACCAAGAATCAAAATTAATAAACTACCACTTGAAAATATATATTTGCTGTCCGGAACAAGTTGGCATCTCTGCAACACCATGTTTATCAACATTTGTGCTTTTTAAGAAATATTTTTCATTTTCTAACATCATAGCTGTTAACTTGTTAAGCTTGTTGAGAAAGATTTTGCAAATGTCGCACGGGTCTTTTAAAATATAATAACGGTAGCAAATTCATTCTGATATGAATTTCCTTTTATTAAGATGTCAATTAAACGTTTCGAAGAATTTTAGAACATTTCACTTGAAAAGTAATAGGCATCGGTGGTCACAATTATATTAATTAAAAAAGATTCGTTTTCTTATTTTAACCATTTTTTAAAAACTGAATGTAAAAAATAGTTATTTAAAGCTCTATACCGTTTTGCAGGCATAGTTTTTGGGCCAAAGAATGTAAAACAGACAATTACTAGCTTGAAATTATTAAAAATAAATATATTAGCTAAAAATGTAGCTTTGCTTTAACCCCTTCCTTCTCGCTCCCGTGAAAATGACGGGTTGAGGTTTCACCCTCTATTTCTCGCTCCCGTATATTCCTCTATTTCTCGCTTCAGTAATAACGCGCCAGTACGAATAAAACTAATTCATTTTTTTGCCGGAAAACATTTTATTTCTCATTTTACACACCAGATGGCATTATCAGGGTATTTTTAAGGTAATTGTAGATAGTTAGCTTATTTTAAACTAGTTGTGAGCAAATATCAAATACGTAATAGAAATACAAAAGCTAAAAAAATAGGCACTTTTATGACCGTTTTCTTGAAAATTAAACGATCGTTAAGGGGTTAAAGGCCATTGGGAACCTGAAAAAAATTTATAATTAAAGGAGAAAGTATTTTCATTAGAAATCCAGCTACCTCACCGCAATGTAGCAACAAAACTGCTCGCAACTTCAACTACGGCTGAAAGTTTATATATAAATCAGCACAGAAAGGAGAGAAAACTGGTATAAAAATCATTTCTTTTGAGTTGATTTTATAGAGTAAAATTTCTATGTCTAATAAAAAAAATTTGTGAATTTCAACATGCATGTATAGGATTGTCTTTTATTCAAGAAAAAGTAAAAAGGTGAGGAATAGTTTATAATTAAGAATAGTAAGATCTTATTTTACTCCTGCTAAATAATATAATTAATAATAATAATTTTTAAGGAAAAAAAAAACTAGTGGTTGCTGTTGTCTTAATATTTGCTACTTGTCAATAATATTTGACGGATCATGGGTTAGAGTCCCTCTGCCGTCAGGCTAAGAGTGGAAGGTTTTCCTGTCTATGTAACGTAAATTTGTGTTAATTCTACCAAGAAATCCTCCCCGAAGGCAAATTTCTCCCAGTACTTGATCCAGGATTTCCTTTTCTTCTGGATTGGGTTCAAAATTACAAGGTTACCGAGTTAAACATTAGTAGCCGTAAACACAAAATTGGGTCTGCTGTTCAACGATGGTTATAAAATTAAATTGGTTTAAGAAAATTAAATTGCAGATAACAAAACCAAAAGTTTATTAATTAAAAATTGATTATTTATTTAATAATTTATTTAATCTTTTCTTTAAAAAATGTTTTAATTTAATACGTAACATATATAAAACCTATTTAATACTCACAGTTTCTAAAAATAATATTTAATTTCAATTTATAATTTGTGCCCACTTTTCTTGTACAGTTTTGACATCAGTTTTTTTTTTTTTTTTTCGTGGAACAAAATAGTAATAATAATGATAATAATAATAATAATTCTGCTATATACAGTTTACAACAAAGAGAAAAAAGCTATTTAGTTAAAGTTTAAAGCAAAAATTAACATTGGTAAAATATTTGCACAAAACAAAAGAAATTAAAGCTCCGATCCTATCGCCATCATCCTGTGATTAAAACAGTTTCGGTTTAAGTTAAAAGTAACACGCTCATTACATATTCAGCTTAAATTTGATTCAATTTATCAATCATATAAATAATATTACCTTATCAATTGTACAAATACTTTTACCTTATTAATTCAATTTATCAATTATTATAATTGATACCTGACAAAAAGTATAACACCTATACTTTTTCTAATAAGAGTTTTGGGCAAATTTGCTTTCATTATTAAAGGTTTGTTCTAATTATTAAAATTTATTATTAAAATTGTTAAGTTAAAAGTCACGCGCTTAAAACAGTTTCGGTTAAAGTTAAAAGTTACACGCTCATTACACATTCAGCTTAAATTTGATTCAATTTATCAATCATATAAATAATATTACCATATCAATTATGTAAATACTTTAACCTTATCAATTATTATAATTGATACCTGACAAAGAGTATAACACCTATACTTTTTCTAATAAGAGTTTTTGGCAAATTTGTTTTAATTATTAAAGGTTTGTTTTAATCATTAAAATTTATTATTAAAATTGTTAAATAATTCAATTTATCAATTATTATAGTTGATGCCTAACAAACAATATAACACCTATACTTTTTCCATGGCGGAGTTTTTGCGAATTTTCTTTAATTCTTAAAGATTTGTTTTAATTATTAAATTTATTATTAAAGTATCAAAATTATATATGTTTTAATTATTAAAATTTAATGGCAATTGGATTTCTTTATTTTTTTTTCATTCATTTCACTTGTTTTCATTATCATTATTTTTTTGTCGTAAAAATTATCTTTTCTTTCCTAAATACTATTGTTTTTTATAACTCCTAGAATTTAATGAAATACTAACTTGGTTCTATGAACACTGTTTCTTAAATAAAGCATTTATAAAGTCCATCCACCTTAAAAAGACAATTGATATTTGGAGGGATCATTTAAAGTCGTCTGTGTTACTGACACCTTTTTTTTTTTTTTTTTTTTTTTTTTTTTCAGGAGAAAAACTATTTGTATGATATAGTGGAAAAAATATTTTTAACATTTTCTTGTGAAATTTCTTTTTTAAATAAAGGGATTGTACTTGAATTTGGCCTTCAATTGTCTGCTTACGGTGGACGGACTATTTAGGGTTTATTTCGTTAAGCATAATTGCCAGCTTTTCCTTATTCAAAAATTTTGTCGCTTGACACACGACACGAGTAACACGAAAAGTAATTAAATTGAAAGATTTAGATGTAATCACTATTTGAAAGCATTTATTTATCAGATCTAAAAAATTATAAACACTAAAAAGAAGAAAAAAAATGCAAAAACTGGTAAACGAAAACCAACTCATAATAGCTTGTTTTTCGGGAAGACTTCTTCTTTCAAGGAACTACAGCCTGTCGCAATCCTCTATCCGTATAGAAAGTCTTCAGAAAAGTCATTCCCTAATTTCTCTTTCGGGATGATTTTTTAAACAGTTGAAACATATACACCAGATCATTATTTTTTTAATAGTTTATAATTTAAACTGCTGATTAATAGTTTATAATTTAGAATAATAAAAGTTTATTTAACTTCTCCCGAAAATCAGTTATAAATTAAATGGTTTTACTACCAGTTTTTTCTCGTTTCCGTCTTACTTTCAGATCGATTCCTTATGACTGAGCCTCTCCGGTCTTTTTTTAAATTTAAATTATTTGAGGTCAATATTAGTTTAAACAAAATTATCCATCTTATTACCCGTCGAGGAATCCTGTAAAATTGACATGACTTATTATTGCTCTAATTGCATAAGTTTTAGTGTTCAGCTTAGATTTTCGAAGAAATCGTATTTATACGATTTCAGAGAAAAATAAAACCATAGGAGTTTTTTGTGGTTTTCCTCTCCTTTTAACGCAAATACTAGCTAATTCCACTAAGTTCCCTTACCTTCTGGATTGGGTTCAAAATTACCAGCCTACGGAGTTGAACATTATAGTCGTACACTCATAATTGGGTCGGTTGTCCCACGCGGGTTATAGAATATAAAATAAAATTTCTCATTACCTTTAGCCTATACGAGTTGAAACTATATGTTTCTCAGCATATAAAATTCCAACTCTAGTTAAACCTCGCGAATTAATGCATCTTTCTATATTTCCCAGCTCAGTAGGTAAAAGAACATGCATTGCACAGTTGACGAGGCCAAGGGAATATGTCTTTTTCCCTATGGCAAGCAAGAATATCCCACTGAAGACATGGATGAGGTTTATCCAGGAATATACATTGGGAATTCAGCTTCTGCCGCCAATTTAGCCGAACTCAAAGCCAAGAATGTTAAATATGTTCTAAATTCTGCATTTGGAACAGACAGTTCACTGAAAATGGTGCACGTTCTTTCTGAGAAAGACTATACTCAATCTGGAATAAGTTTTCTTGGAGTTCCGGCTGTAGACCACATGTCTTATTCTATAAGTGAACATTTTAATGAAGCTTTGGTGTTCATAAAAGGAGCCGTAACCACGGAGAGGAGTATTTTGGTGCACTGTGTAGAAGGAATAAGTCGTTCAGCAACTTTAGTGTTGGCTTATTTGGTGAAAGAAGTTGGCATGAATCTGCAAGAAGCTATAAGAAGTGTGCGTCAACGGAGAGAGATCTTACCTAATGATGGATTCTTGTTGCAGTTGTGTATTTTAAATGAAAGTAGAAATAAAAAGTTATGAATAGTTACAGATATTTCAGTGTTTAAAATTTTTTTATCAGTCTTTTAATATGCTCAACGTTATGTGAAATGTGTCCGCTATATACTCAGAGATGCCAACTGCTCCGGACAAGCCAAAATAATTTAAAAAACGGTAAATAACTACAAAGTAAATTTTGCAAACATTTGACTATTTTTACTTGCTTTTTAAAAGGTATGGCATGACATAAGTACTTCTTCTTTATTTAATTAAACTGGGCACCTGGGCCGCGAAGCTGCCCCTATCCCATTCATCATCAAATTACATACAGTAAGGTAAAATACATTGATTTGGCAAACATTATGGCAGCCATAAAAATCAAGCCGTTTGCTTGTAAAATAATAAAACAATGAAAAAATTCAATATGAGAAATTGACGTTTTGACAAATGATTCAATATGACAATTTGATTCAATATGACAAATTGACGACATTAGAAATATTGATTGTAGACTTAAATTAAAAATAAAGATAAAACATGATTTGATATGTAAAAAAATTGATTTTTGAAAAATGAAAGACATAATTAATGACTTAAGTACAATAAATTGGAGAATTATATAAGCCTACGAATTATTTAAAAAAAAGTGGTGGATAAAAATCTACTAAATTGAATTTATTAAACCAAAAATCACAATTAATAAACTGCCACTTTAAAATATATATTTGCTGTCCAGAGCAAGTTGGCATCTCTGTATACTGTGGGGTTTTATAACTATCGACTATATCAACTTCATCAATCAAAATGTACCTCATGGTAGAATAAAGTTAATGTTATTTATATTCTTCTATACTAGTGATTTGGTATTTAATATTTGTAGTGGTAGATACACCACATTACTCCCCATCCAGAAATTTTTATCTGTGATAGAATTCGATGAACGATTACCACTAGTTGATTCATGCTGTTTATATATTTGTATCAATTTTGCTCATTATATTTTTTCTTCATGGCATTTCGCTCATTAATTTTCCCCCTCTTCATTATTATTATATTTTTTTTTATATAGTATTTAGCTCATTTTTTTTCTCAATGTGTTTATTAACCGGAAGACTTTATTTACTTCACCGATTCCCCCCCCCCTTCTTTGAGCAATATATTTTTAGCAAATCAACTGTTTTATTGGGGATCCATCCATCATTATTGGCAAGATCATATCACGTCCGGGTCACCAAAGAGGGGATTTATAATTATTAACTATGTCAACCTTCGTCTGTCAAAAGGTACCTCATGATGGAATTAAGTTAACATGTCTTATACACTAGTGATTTGATATTTAATATTAGGGATATTTTTAAAACTCACTCAAGGGAATACTAAGTGTCCCCAATTCTCTGCTACATAAGATGTGGCAGGAGGAAAGCGTTAATACATTTATGTTTATGAAGCAACACATTAAAATCATACGTTTTTTTTTCTTAATTGTTATTTTTAAAGAAGAAGACAAGTGTGTATGCGTGTATATAAACTAACGCATTCTTGATAATTTTGTGCATTCGGACAAACAAACTTAACTAAAAATAAAAGTTTGAAAAAATCTGTAGCTTTCCGAACAAAACTAATTTCAAAATCGAAATCTTCACACCCAAAATATGTAAGCTCAAGTACTTGCATAAATGTAACGAAAAATAGATTGAGAAACTGAAAAAGTAATAAAACGAATAAAAAATTCGGTACTTTTTAATTTCGCCGACACGGGCAATAAAGTCACCAATGTAAAGTCACCGAGCAGCAGTAAATTCAGATGTTTTCTTTTTTTTTTTTTCGCTTAGTATATTCAAAGACTCTTAATATTTCAGGCCGTTGCGTATTATTTTTTACGGTGGTAGTGGACTAAAGCAAAATTATTTTAAAAAGAACATTTTATTTTTAAAAATTATGAGAACTTTAACATATGTCAAGACGACCTTTTATAGATCTGTTTAAATTACTTGTGTTTAGTGACGGACAAAATTCTTCTTAACCCTTTTTATTGACTGTAATTTATTAACCCTTTGCACTCCGATGTCCCCGCCAAGGCACCATCAACAGTCACCACTTTAAAATTAAGAAATTTCATACCTTAATAATTAGTAACCACATTATTTAAAGAATTTCAAAATTGTATAACAATAGTATATTATGCATTTTAATTGCTATAGTGATGGTATTAGATCAATCAGCGTTTAAAAGTACTCGGAATGCAACGGGTTAAAATATAAATACATTACCCTTGCTATTACTAATAAAACTATTTTCCAAAAGTACGGAGAATTCGTAGTAATTGTCTCCATAGATAATAGTCTCTATATTTTTTAAATAAATAAATTAAATAAAATCGCTGAATTTACTTGCACAATTGAAATGAAAAAGAGCAAAATTTTCTTTAATTATTTATTTTTTAATTAAACATTTAAAATTAATGCTAATTAAGAACTAATACCACTAAAGAAAACTGTTACCGTAAAATACAGGTGTTGGCACCTATAACTGTCCCATAGCAATCAACTTTTACCTATTAACGCATATATATGTATGAATATCTAATGTTTGTGTGTTTAACCATTTAAAAAATACAAAGTATAATTCCGCTTAAAATTGTAGTTCAATTTTCCTTTTTACTGCCACTGAGAAAAAGGCTTAAAGTTGGCAGGTATACAGTATTTCAATGAGAAAAAATTCAATTGAAATTATAACTATAGTAACAAGTTTGCGTAAGCTTTAATAAAAGTTTGCTAGTTTATTCCTAAAATTTCATTTTTTATTAGCTGAAATATATCACTCTTGGGCTGCAATAGTGGTACAACTCAAAAAACACGCGTTTTGGACTAAGAACAGGTGTAAATATGAAAATACACACATATGTATTGAATCATATCTCAAACGTTGCCGTTTGCAATTATAAAGCACTCAACTACAGGCAAAGTATAGACGGAATGCGTTTTGGACGTGAAGAACATAACTTAGTTAACAAAACTTATTTCCATAAATAAATATTTATTTAGGTTTCGTAATTTTGTACTATAAAACCACTAGTAATTTATTGAAACTTAGGATTTCAGTTCATTTTTAAACAACCTTATACCCCACTTTTTTTTTTCTTTCTTCGATTCGTCATCGATCAAAAAATGATACTTTTTAGAGATTTCAAACCCACTCAATACAGAATTTTTTGACCGGTAAATCTTGTTTACGAGTTTTAAAATACTTATTTTTCAAGTTGTATAGCATAGTTTAAAAAAGAAGAACGAAGGACTCAGAAAGCACAATGACACAAGTTGTTAGACGTTTTTATGATTTCTCAATCTGCGCTTAAAATCACTTGATATCGACATAAATAAAGTTTGCGTTTTCCAGAAATATAAATTGCGAAATATTTTTTTCCACCCAGAAACTGTTATGGCCGAATTTAAGTCACGTATAACTCAGGCGCCACAATTGTGTAATGATTTATGAGATGTATCAAGTTATTAATCTTTTAAATTCAAGATTCACCCATCTTAGTAAAAAGAAAAAGAAAAAAACAGTGAGTTTTTAAAGTTTTCCTTTGGATTATTTTTGTAATGTTCCTTCTCAAATTCTTCTAGTTAAGATCAAAACATGTTTTAAAAATGAGACCATCACTGAAAAAAATATTCTTTCTATCATGTGTAAAAAAAAATACCTCACACCATTTCGTAAGTTTCATACGACTATTAAAAAATTTACAACTTCGTTATTTGTCACATAAAACTATGGATTACAGTTTAACAACTTTAGTAGGAGGCTTCTATTTTTTTTTCCTTGATTGAAATGTAGATTTGATATCGTTCTAGAATTTTAATTTTTTTACTGGGATAAATTAGATCTATATTTTCCTGCTTTTTCTTACATTACAATTTTTAATAAATAGCATTATTGTTTACTATTTGCGAAAATAAGGTAGGACTGAAATATTCTGACTAGCAGTTCTATATTTATTCCGAAAATTAGCATTCTCGAATTGCGGAAGGTTAATAAATTTCCTTCATCTTTTTTCCTTCCCTAATCAACCACTCTTGTTGTTACTACTGTCAAATTAACAAACAAATTCACGTTAAAATTAATAGGAATATCTCCTATAAAGATACTAATTTATTATTTTGAGGCCTGGTGGGACAGAGTTTTAAAATACACTGGTGGACAAAATTAAGAGATGGAAAGCATTTTCGCACATTCATTCGCACATGCAAGATACCCGCACACCGCACCATGTGTTAGACAATGGTTCCTTGAATGCCCAGAGGTACAGGCAGGAGGTCCTAGAGCCCTATGTGCGTCTTTTCAGGGGCGCTGTTGGCCCTGAGGAGTTGGCTTTTATGGACGACAATGCGCGACCACATAGGGCTCTCATGGTTGATGAGTATCTGGAAAGCGAGGATATTCAACAAATGGATTGGCCAGCCAAATCCCCTGACCTGAATCCTATTGAACGTGCTTGGGATGCTCTTGGGAGAGCTATTGCGAGGCGCCAACCTACCCCCAGAACCTTTCTGGAGTTATAAATTGCTCTCGTGGAAGAATGGGAGATTCTTCCACAAGTCCTCCTTAACTCCTAACTTTTATTGTCATCTTTTATCCTTAAGTTCAGACTACATTGGCTTTAATGGCAATAGGTCTTGCCAGTGAATGGCACTTTCATTTTTGTTTTGCATACTTTATTATCATGAAATGAGCTCTATCCATACCAAATTTCATTTATTTATATTCAGTATTTTTTTAGATATTTGGGAAAATGTCTTCCATCTCTTAATTTTGTCCACCAGTGTAGAAGGATTTTATTTGAAAAATACTAAGTAGCGGTGGTCACAGATGTGAAAAATTAAGGATATTCGCCTTCTAATTGTTACCACTACTGAAATTTTCTTTAATTCACTTCTTCCTTAATTAGTTTGTAGTTCTCCACCGTTTTTTTAATTATTTTGTTGAATCCGGTTCAGTTGGCAACTCTGTATACATATTACTTCATTAAAAACTTCATTCGCTTCAAAAAAATTA